CTCCCAACGGCACAGCGGTATGTCTACGGACTTACAACGGTAGAAACCGGGTTTCGATACCTGTGGTGGGCAGAGTACAGATAGCCCATTGTGTAGCCTTGTGCTTAACTTCAAAACAAGACAAACAAAAACCAAATGTGTAATGTAATAATCTCCATTATTCGCAACAATCTTTCGTTCCATGCTGATTTTCTTGGACCTGGCTTGGCCTGATGATCAGGACACTCGACTTGAAACCTACGGTCAACTCCACTGTTAGGCTAGAGTAACTTAACAGTTGACGTTAGTTGTATTAACTATCTACCTCTCATCTCATATAGCTCTCAAGTAGCTTTGTGCGAAATTCAACAAACTGATATGTGAAAATCTGACGATATTATTTAATTCTACTGACTTAGGTTTTAGTTCACGAGCGACATCTATAGCCTTAACCATATTGTACACTTTATGAAGTGCATAAATACTTAGGAATTTTATTTCACCATACTTACCACAATAAAGATCGTACTTTATGTTACAATGATAATTAAAGTTGTCAAAGAGTTACTCTATAGTCAACTCAATACTTGTCTTTCTTACAATGGACTTCTCCATACAATTTGTATAATATTTTTAAGGCGTGGTTTAAATTCTTATATATGCTATCGTGGCTCGTCCTGATTTAATTACTTGGTTATATCCAAGTGCCTGTTTGATTTGGTGTTTTACAAATATTCAATAGCTAAGTTGCGACTACTCAAATGTTTTTATACTTTCAAAATAAAGGACCGTCCCTTTTGTATTTTCCTGTAGTGTTGTGAATATTAAACGATTATCGGCTTAAACATTTGTAAACCTAAATCATAAGAATTTTCTATATGCCCTGGGCGTGCCCTTTATTCTATCTTTACTTTATAAAAGTAGGTGTGATCCAAGCAGTCGCTAATTTAGAAAATTAATTTTTAAGCTAAATATTTTAAGAATTTGGGATAGGTAGTTCCAAACGTATCATACCATTCAAGGGTATTTAAGAACTTTCTTAAAATCAGAAATATAAATATTTTATTTGAATATCATGGACTAAAAACTTTAATTACAGTAGTTAGAATATGACTTTCAATTTATGGAAATGTCGTTTAAGAGTAATCTTTAATGTTCCTAGTTTCTAAAAGCATTAATTCCAAACCACTTAAATTTCCACCCACTAATATGATATTTACAGGTTTTCTTAAATCCTGCTGCTCCAAGTTCATGGCCTGGCGAGGTGTTAGGGCACTCGACTCGCAATCTGCAGGCTGTGGGGCGTTATAATTTCACAGTCAATCCCACTATTCGTAGAGTAGCCCAAGAGTTGGTGGTGGGTGATGTCTTTCACTGATAAATTAGGGACGACTAGCGTAGACAGCCCCCGTGTAACTTTGCGAAAAGTTTAAACCAATCTAAGTTGATACTTGAAGTTTCCGGACGATTTCTTTCAAACAGATATTTTTTATGATTTGTAAACCTTATACACTTTAGAAGTCTGATTTACTCATTCTTCTGCTTAGTAAAACTGTAACTTTATTAAAGTTATTGAGTTGTAGTTTGGAATAGTAACATCAATCACTGTATTAACATGAAAGCTCAATATATATTGGCTGATATTTGTATACTTTCCGAAATACTGAACGTTTGTAGTGTACTTTTTGAACCATCAGATTTTTTATAAAAATATGAACTTAATCTAAAGCTTTTTAAAACTAAAATAGATTCTATGTGAACATGTATTAAGTTTATTTATCTGTATTAGAAATACTACCCTATATATATATATATATATTTCTAATAACCTTGAACAACGCGATTACGTTTTCTTGCCTCAGATAAAGCAAATTTCTAAATGAACGGTATTTGCACATTCGTAATAAAAATGTCCAGAGATTTTGGATCCGAGGTTTTGTGGTTCGCGCCCTATTACCGCCAAAACAATGATAATAAATATAAAATCACGCTCCGCATTTTGAGGCTGTGGCAGCATTTTAAGAGAAATGGTCAAATTTCACTATTCGATTAGAGTAGCCCACATAAGTTGGCGGTGGGTATTGTCAATTAGCTGCTTTCTCTGAAGTCTATCAGTTCAGAATTAGGTATGGCTAGCGCAGATAGCCCTCAAATAGCTTTGGGCACAATTCAACAAACAAAAACAACATAAGAAAAACAAGACAAACGACAACTAGAAATAAATAAATAATAAAATACAATTTTAGGAAATCAAACCAAAACTTGACTTCCGGTCGCAAATACGAACTTTACGTTTGTTATATTTGGACCAAAAATGAGAGGGTGGTCTTAACGTTGAGTATAGGTTTTAGTGTTTGTGTTTGTACTCAGTTAAATTCTTGAATTATTTTAAAATACAATAATTTAAACATAGAGCGTATATATAAGACTTTAAAAGAATATGCACGCATATCTGTTATTAAAGTAGGTTTATTGTGCCATAACATTTTAAGCTACGATTAATTTATTTAAAAATACATATTAAACTGCCTAATTAAGAAAAAGTTAAGCCTACTTTTTTTTTTAATTCAAAAGAGCCAGAAGTACAAGAGAAATACATATTTACATTACTTGCTAACTTTTACTTTTGTGGCACGAATCAGTTAATCGACAAACAACTAAGAACAATTTTCTAGGTTGAAATGAGAACAAATTTTTAACTGGTTTATAAATGTATCAACTTTTAATTTTATTTAACTTACACAAGTAACGCGATGTTGAATAAGCAATATTTCTCTGACGTCATATTAACAACAAGTTGACGATAACGATGTCCAGTATTCATAGAAACAGAACAATACAATCATAGGAGGTAAAAAAATTGCACGATATCGATCGATTATAAATCAATAGATAGATAGATGGCCGAATGTTACGACGGTACATAACATAAGATAGATGAATAAATATTATGTCGGTCGGTAGGTTCTAGAAATATGGAGAGACAGGTATAAATTTGTAAAGATTGATGGAAAAATAAATATACATGCCTAAATAAAGACGTGTAAGTGAACACTTGAATATTTATATGTTTGGAAGGATGTCAGTACGTGGGTTAGTATACTGTTAAAAGTATATATATATATATAATATAGCTACGAGTAGTTTATATTGGACAGTTTTAATGAGATATTTATAAGTTATTTTGGGTTGACAGTGGTAGGATTTTACAGAAGTTATAAGGAAAGAGAGAATAAGAGGAGGGCAGCAGCTTGAAACCTATATAACAAAGTTTGTATATGGATGTGGCAAGGGTTAGGATTCTGAGGATTTGAATTCATATTTGTGTAGGTGAAATAAGGGTATCAGTTTGCTGTTTTGAACTTTTTGGTTTCCATTAGGTTTTGATAACTTTATTTGGGTGTATGGAGGCAGATTGTTATAGTTCAGTGATTGGCTGTTAATGTTAAAATAGTTTTAATGTGGTTGACTTTCGAATTACTCGCTTGTTTTTATATCGTCGTCGACTGCTGGTGTATTCCACATATCGAGTAGTATTATGTTAAAATGCCTAGTATAAAGAACTGACCAGAAAATTTGGGAAAAACCCGTTAATTTTCTATGTAAAATACGCAGGGCATCCTATCAGTAATTAGTGGGATTAACTTCAGTGTTTTTGTTTGACTTTGTTTTGTGACTCGTATCTTATTAGGGACACTATAACTAATGCAGTTATATATATGGAAGATGATATAAAAAATGGTTTAGAGAAATTTGTTCATCGACCTGATGTAACCTAATTTACGTCATCAGTAATAATTCTAGGTTTAATAGGTGACATTTTAATCAGGTTATAACTGAAGGTAATGTTTTCAACAATTAGGGTTGACCTTATTTAGTAAGCTTTGTCTGTAAATGTTTGTTTCTTTCACAAATGTACCTTTCTCTGCAAAGCCAGCTGGACTCGTCTTTTTTTATAGAATTATCTTGACGTGATGATTTTTTTAATAGGCAACACAAAATACCGTTTCCAGATTTAAATATGTGGATAAAGCTCATACAAATATCTAAGATTAAATTGTGCTTTTTCTGGAAACTTCCTTTTTGAATCGATGAATCGTTATAAATTGAATTGATTGATAGACGAGTCTCTGTTTGAAAGTAATTTTTTATTTCAACCTAAATAAAAATGTTAAAGTAAATTTTGGTGCATGATGTAAATTATTTTATGTTTTTCTCAAAATAAAACTATTATGTCAAACTTTAACTACTTATCTGTTTTATTTTTTCAGTCTACTTAGACCAAAATCCTTTTGTACGTGTTACTGAATGTATGAATTTTTGAAACTGTGGTATTTGAGGTGCTTATTGAAGTATGTAAGTCGTCTGCTATGTTTAATTATGGAAATTACACTTGATTAGAGACATTTAAAGATGGTGGGGCTGTTATTTAGGTTGCCAGGCGTATGGCATGCCGTGTAAAAATTCATCGAAAATGATACATTCGTAATAAAAATGGATAATCATTGCTCTGGACAATTTAAGTACCGATTCCTTTGATATGTAAAAATTATTTCGAAATATGTTTTTTGGAAAACGTTTGGCAAATAACCTTTTGATAAATACTTATTGTACTTCGTTATGCATTTTTAGCTTGTTTTTCTTGTTATTAGTATTATTTAATCAATATCAAATTCTACATAACACTTTGTGACTTTTGAGTAAACAACTAATATTTAATTGTTTTTCAGCTGTCATTTTTCGTTTCAATGTGCTGTCATTGATATACCTCCTCCTCCTGCTGATAGCCCCAGTTGTTCCAAGTCCCTCACCCACCAATATTATCTCAGGTATGAAAGTAGATTTTTGTTCTTTAGATTGAGTTGACTGTCATAGAAGTTAACATACTAGACAATATCACATTGTGATATTATAATAGCACTGACTGTCACACCACACAATATTACTTTGTAAGAGTTTCAAAATACTCTAAATGATAACTGTCATGAAAGTTTATGTATCAGAACATATCACATTAACAGTCTCAAATCTGTAAATGTTGAATGTCATGAAAGTTTACAAGCTGGAGAGTAATAAATTAACAATTATAGATCTCTGATAGAAGCTTCTACAGAAACTATCCCGTCAACAACCATACTGAAAAATATGTTAACTCTATAAACTGAATTCTTTTGAAAGATCATCCTTTCAAAAGTGGTCAGGTTATGAAGTATTGTATTTTTGAGTTAAACTGATTTCTTGAACATACGTGTTTTCCTGACATCGTGAATACATCAACATCCATAAATTTATATGATTGCCGTCACTCATGGATAAAAATGCTCTGACAGTTATAACAAATTTACTGGATGCTGTCACTCATGGGTGAACGTGCTCTGACAGTTATAACAAATTTACTGGATGCTGTCACTCATGGGTGAACGTGCTCTGACAGTTATAACAAATTTACTGGATGCTGTCACTCATGGGTGAACGTGCTCTGACAGTTATAACAAATTTACTGGATGCTGTCACTCATGGGTGAACATGCTCTGACAGTTATAACAAATTTACTGGATTTTACAACACTAATCCACCAGTCATTTAGACAAAAACTGTTTCTGTGTGGAAATATTGATCTGGAGTTCAGCAAGTAAAACAGTGGCTGTGTTTTTTAATCATCTGATATACAGACAGACTTAGCACAAATACAATTTAGAAATGGAATATGATTTATGTTGGCTGAAAGCCATAAATTAGTAAATACATTTTTCCCGAGACCCGTTCAGGCAGAATATAAAATGAAACCGTAGCTCGGTACACACAATGGAATGAGATTAATTAAATTATGAGTAGATGGTGATTACTGAAATGTTCTTTAATTTGGGAATTGAATTCCCATAGTGCCAGTGTCATACTTTCATCAGTATTTTTATTGATCCTGACGGTAAACACGGAGCTCCACAAATCGGCAACAAAAGGTAAACATATTCATAGGTTTGCAGGAAGTAGTTATAAGATTTGATTTCCTCCAAATGGTTTCTCAGTTTGTTGAATCAATGTGTAGTTAATGTGATATAATTACAGAAAAGAAATGTTTTGTTGATATTATCTAACCCGAATAATCTTCAAGCTTTGTAACAAATAATATACTTGCTATCTGTTTCAGGTCACACTGGACGTTACATCAAAGCTGTCGTCAGTCTTAGTTGTATTAGTTGTTTAGCACACATAATCTTTCAAGTTGTCTTATTAAGCCTTGGAGATTATGGAAAGTTTCCAGTACAGTGTAAGTAGTTTTAAAGATTACATATATTTGCTGACAAATGTCTAATGATCTGTGTGGAATTTTTGAAGTTTTCAGTGCTTCTCATGTATGTAGTGACGAGTTAATATGTAAAGTAGAAGTAATATTTTTGTTTTGGATGATGTACTTATAAGATATTCTCCAGAATATGAGCCTTACAGTCACCTCAAGTGTATACAAGTATCCGTGTAACATTTACTTTGAAATAACTGATGCTAAAAATGATTTGTTAATAATAATATTCTACTCCAAACATTTCATCTACATAATGCATATCACAATTTTATTATTTGTATTTCACGCATACATTGGATAGGACAGGAGACCGTGTTCTGTTTGCTTAGAATAAACAAAACCCAACCTAATCTTCTTATCTATATTTCAGGCACATGGGAGGGAAGGCTGTTTGCTCTATTTGGACTACATAGATTAGATAAAATCCATCCCGTGGATGCCATGCGTCTCATTGGTCTGGACTTCCTCGTACTTCTGGCTACAGTGGGAGTTTTGATTACCTGTCAGAAAGCATTCGATGCCACTCCAATCCCTTGTGAAGGAGAAGGTGAACATGACCAGCTTCAGGAGTTTCCTGTCAAGAAGAAAAGAAAACGTTCTTCCGAGTTCCTAATTTTCATTGGAGAACTTCTCTTCCTCATATTTCTGGCCGGAGCTGGAGTTCTCCACCCTTCACTCATTTCATCCATGTACTTCCTCATATTTCTGTTCATCGCTACCTGGTTGGCGAGTGGCTGTAAGCTCGGCCGTACCTACATCTTGGGAAGGATAGCCCTGGCTGTTTACTCCGCTCTTTATTTTATTCTGCTATACCTTTATCAACTAGATTATGCTCAGGAGTTAGTTCAAGTGGATAGTCTAAAAGCGAGGTGTGTTAAATGAGAAAAAGATCATTATTGCTTGAGATATAAAGTGATTAAAGCCTACGTTAAGATAGTTTTAATTATAACAGTGGATTAATTAAGAAAACAGAGAAACTGGTAATTGAAAATAAAACAAAACTGTAAAAAACATAATGTTAATTATGAGAACTAAGAATAATTCACACAAGCCAGGCTAAGTGTTAGTTACATTGAACAAACATGAACCAAACAGTAGTATATATATATTATTAAACTTAACTTGGAAAACATTGGCTAATACTGTAAGACAAGTTTCTATGTCTAACTATGATCATAGTTTATTGTTAGTACTAGAAGACAGGGCAATATTATTCACGAGTGAATGTTAGTTATTAAAGGAAATGACACGTTGTTTATGATTGAAGTTCAGTTACTAGAGACAAGGCAATATTAGGATGACTGTTGCTAAGTTATTAGAGAGAAGGCAACATTAGGATGACTGTTGTTAAGTTATTAGAGACAAGGCAATATTAGGATGACTGTTGTTAAGTTATTAGAGACAAGGCAATATTAGGATGACTGTTGTTAAGTTATTAGAGACAAGGCAATATTAGGAGGACTGTTGTTCAGTAGTTATTATAAACAAGGCAATATTAGGATGACTGTTGTTAAGTTATTAGAAACAAGGAAATATTAGGAGGACTGTTGTTCAGTAGTTATTATAAACAAGGCAATATAGGATGACTGTTGCTAAGTTATTAGAGAGAAGGCAATATTAGGATGACTGTTGCTAAGTTATTAGAGAGAAGGCAATATTAGGATGACTGTTGTTAAGTTTTTAGAGAGAAGGCAATATTAGGATGACTGTTGTTTAATTATTAGAGAGAAGGCAATATTAGGATGACTGTTGTTAAGTTATTGGAGACGAGGCAATATTAGGATGACTGTTGTTAAGTTATTAGATACAAAGCCATATTCATGCACATACACAGAGGGAGTTCTGAAGAACCTCCTGCTTTTGTGGTGTAAACAATTATGCTTATATAGTTATAATGCAGCTGCTTAGAGTATTTAATATTCTCTACCTGATCTACATTCTTCTGATGAAGCAAGACAAGATGACTTTCTATACCTTTTCAGGCCTCAAATACTGGCTGACTGCTTAAAAACAGGCTTCAGTGGACCAGATATTTTTATGTTACTGAAATTTTTTGTCACACTGCTACCAAGTTCATGTTTGTGTGAGCATTCGGCATTTGCTCTCATCCTGTTGAATAGCTACTTGAAGTGTACACAAACCGAAGAAACACTGAGTGATCTAGCTTTAATACATAATCATTATGACACTGCTATCAACATTGAAACTGTATGCAAGTTATTTATGGAAATGTATCCCAGAAGAATGAAGCATGCTAACATGTTATTTCTCAGTAGTGCATACACGTACATATATGATAGCCAGTGATTGAAATAGCTACTATACTATTGTGTACAGAGTTGTTTAAATCAGTAATATAACTTAACAATTAAGAACTACTCAGCATGTAGATAGTACAGTACTTTACAACAATAAAACATACATGTTTATGTTAATTTAAGTCTAGCTCCCCATACAGTGTTACAACAGAATGATTTGTGGATTTATGTGAACAGCCAGGCAACAATTATATAAACTATATTTCATGTAAAATTACTTTCAGATTTAATCTCATAGCACCCGTTTTTTGCAAAGTTTCTGTAGCAGGATGCCCCTAGCCCCCCCCCCCCACTAGAATTAGCATGCTTTGTATGCTGATCATACTTCTCACCATATGTGTCGGCTTTTGATCTCACAAATTAGAACCTCATTTCAGACATTTTGCATACGGGCCTGATGTTAGTCATGACTGAAGGCTCTTTGTGAGATAGACAAGGGTGTAACTGAATGCTTGACACTAGAGACAAGACCATATTAAGCATGACTTGAGAAAAGGTGTAATTAGCCATGGCTGAATGTTAGTTATAAGATTGAAGACCACATTTTTTTCAAGACTATTAGGTTAAGAGAGACCTCTATTTCTGATCGCTCTTCAGTTCAATTTAACATCTGGGATGCAGTCATGAATATAAGTTACCCAAGAATTGCTCTAGGGGACATGTGGCATTTGAAACTCTCTCTTGTTTCTAAACTATTTTTGCACCAATTTTTCTAAAGATACATGACTTTGTTGATTACAGAATCCCTGATGACATATGAGCCACATACAAAAATGTAAACAAAAATATCATCAATATTGCAATTAATCTACTGCTATATCCTATATATATTTCATAATTTACATAAACCTAAAGATTGATTGTATCTTCTGTAGGTTGCTGGATGTAGATGA